GCATGTCGGGTGGTTGGGACATCAGGGTGCTCAACCAGCCGGCCCAATCGCCCGACATGAACGTTCTTGACCTCGGCTTTTTCAACTCTATTCAAGCACTTCAGCAACGAATGGAGTGCTCGTCCATTGAAGACCTGGTGTGCACCGTCGAGCAGTCGTTTGAAGACTTGGCGCCGTCGACGCTGGACAAGACTTTTGGGACTCTGCTTCGTGTGTTCCAAGCGTGCCTAGGTGTGGAGGGCAACAACACTTACGACATGCCACGGAGCAAACGACAGAAACAAGCGGAATGTGATTATTCTATTGTTCTCGACATGCTCTGGCTTAGGCTGGAGGAAGAAGATCGTCTCGATGAGCTGTGCGACCTGGTCAATGGCTTGTCTGCTTCGTAGAAAGTAAAAAAGTTCAGATTACTTGTACTTGTACTGCTTTTGTGTATTGAGGTGAAGATTCACTTGCAACTTTTGCCAAACAGAGTAGTATCTGTATGCAGAGAACACACGATTACAGCAATAAAGTTTTTATGAGGTCACGCATTTCTTATTTACTGTTAACTCTAATCTCATGTGCCACGACGGGGCAAAGTAGGCTCAAGCACTTAGAACGTCGGAGAAGCGAGGAGTAGTGTTGCGCTGGAGCCCAACAGAACCGGTGTGCATAACATGACAGAAAGAAGAATAAGAATATAGACGAGTTGTGCAGGGAATGTTCCCACCACTCATACACAAGCTATGCGGTGGCGGCCTCTTACTGGCAACAAAACCGGATGACCTCTGATTGGCCTAAGCTTTGCTCCCTCTTAAGTGCGGGTGAAATACACCATGCAAAGAGCGTGCATTGTTGTTTGAGGATTTATTCCTATATTATTACCTTGACCTCATGTTACAGAGGGACGGTGTAACCAACATATGGCTTTTTGATGACACCGACTCTATTTCGCTCCAACATAACGGAAAATACAGTTGTATGGATTTTCGAAACACGAAACCCTCAAAATATATGGAGTTAAGTAACAAACAAACGTATTTCGTAAAGCCTAAATATGTAAATCAAGTTTTCTTAAAGTTTGTATTCTTCTGGAAATATGCTAACATATTTTGCTTTTACGACGCACAGGCATCCGGAAAGACTTCTTTTGTAGGTTATTCATTCTTCACTCGGGCTGTGGCGCCATGGCCAGTCGAAGCCACTTGGCGATGGCCGCTAAGAGAAAGCTTGATTAAATCAATACGTCTGTGGAGCCGGGCGACGGCATAATTGCTTTCTGCGTGGTCAACAGCACGAGGACGCAAGACGGCACGACGATTGCACGATTGACACGTCGGTTGGAAAAGGAGCACCCGCCGTGTGTGGTCGAAGGAACCACAATTCTACCAGCGTGTCGGTATGTAAGGCCATGTTACAACACTCAAGCATCAAGAGAAATCGCCTTTGCACCGATTGCATTCCACTACAATACATCGCATTCACCACCATAAGTGTCGTCTAAAGCACAATAAAGTATCTCTACACTGAGTTGTTTTGAGACTGCTTGGCTGCGTTTTTCACTTACCGCTCCGTTTTGTGTTCGTAGTGGGGCAAATAATTCGGATATGTCACTTGTGCACTCCCGCCGGACGCGTCATGGGCGAGCTGACTATCACGTCGTGGGCGGACGACGCATTTGCGGTCGTCACGGGCGCCGACTCCGAGCTCCACGATCGTAGGTTCGTCCCCATCAACATGTGTTGTGTTTGCCATGCATTCATGTGCATGTATTGCAGGCTTCATGCCATATCCATCCCCAATTGATCGCGACAATTATCGCGAAGACACATAAAGTCTACGCTGGCACCTGCGCTGTTTTTTGTACTACCTTCGGTGTGCTCTGTACCTGACGCAAATCTTGCCCTCGGTGGATGCTGGAATAGATGATTGGACGCGTATGCTGACGAGTTCCCGGATATATCAATCGACAACACGTCCAACAGCATCGGAGTGTTGGTTCTCGCGGGGCCACATGAGGCGGTGGTCCTGGTGGCGTTCGCTGCCCCGTCAAATTGAACTTACGAACTTGCAGACAACGCAGATCCAAGGCATCGACGTGCGTGCGTCGGATTGTGTTTCACTGGAGAGGCAGGGTAAGTCGTACCACCTCTTGATGCGATCTGTGTCAATCGCACACTGTTGAATCCGTTTCGAGAACCGTCTTTTTGAATGTGACGGCATAATATAGTGTTTGAGGAATGTTTCATAAAGGGGTAAATATACGTGTGTACCTATTTCCCCCGCTGACCGAACGGGGCAAATTTGATAGTGCCTACAAATTTTATCATTGAATGTCAGAAGGATTTTCAATCTTTTGAACGCATTCACGTACGATTACAGCAATTCAAACGAGGCATGCCAAGAAAAATGAAGCGGGGGATGACTCTTGTGGAGAAGCATGAGTTATATGCGAAGCATTTAAGCAAGCCTAATGCATCCTACTCTGCTCTGGCCGTGTGGGCAACTCCATCGAAATCGACCGTCGGGCACGTTCTCAAGAGCTACAGCACACCGAGCCTGCGTGCCGATAAGGCCAAACGCACAAAGGAACAACGGGTCGCGCTGCCGGAGGTCGAAGTATAGCTCGTTGAGTGGGTTCTTTGCTGCAAAGAGCTCGGTGTGTGCATCACTGGCGATCTCGTTAGGCAGCAGGCTCGAACGCTCTGAGGCGAACTCGGTGTCGAAACAAACCTACGCTTCTCTAAGGTCGGCTGTACAAATTCTAAAGAAGAAATGGGTTTACCAGCAAGGTGCAGTACGGCAGGCTGGATCCATTCCCCGGGAGGCCGTCAACGTTGGCGCCGCGAGGTCCTAAGCTGACCGCCGATCACTCCAGTACGAATGTTCTCAGCATGGAGGAAACCTCGTCCTTTTGCTGCATGTTGCCGCACCTGTCCAATACGAGTATTCATATGCGTGGGACGAAGAAGTCAGAGAAACGCATCACGATTGCACTCACCACAATCGACCCCTTGTTCATCGGCACGGCAGCAAAACCTCGTTGCTTCGGCGGTCAAACGCCGGTGGAGCTTGGGTTTGATTACTACGCGAGTAAGAAGGGTTGTATGACTCGGACATTTTCAATTCGTACTGGGAAGGTCTGAACGTCAGGATTGTAGAACAGGTCGAAAGGTCCTGATGCTTGTCGACAATTCCCCGCCGCACCTGGGGTTAGAGGCCACGCCCCTGTCCAACATCCGTGTCAAGAAGCGGTCACCAAACACGACAGCCTACCTGCAGCCCCAAGACGCTGGAATCATCGCCGCTTTCAAGGCCAAGATCAAGCACCGCCAGCTTCAAAATGTCCTAGAGCAGATCAGCGAGGTCGTCGCCGGTCGACAAGACCGGTTGTATGAGTACCTCTTGATTTGCAATGGGGAGGGCAAGGAAGCATGGCTGTCTATGACGCAGTCCAAAGTGACGAACTGTTGGGCTCGAACTGGCATTATGGACGAACACCTTACCACATTCAGTGGCAGATTGTCGAATTTGGAGATTAATATTCGTGATTAATTGGCTGTGAACAAAATCTTTGACTTTCAATGGCGTGATTTTGCAAATGTCGAAAATTGAGAATATTCCCTGTGAGGTGTAAAGACACGCGCGAATGGGGAAATTTGTTTCTAGAATTCCCCGTGTGAAAATATCACAAGGCAGAGCTTTCCACACTTACAACAACGTCGTGAAAGTAACATGAGCGAGCACGACGAAGCCACTAGACGCAAAAAGACTGCATTCCGATTCTCAGTGTCTACCGACATTGACCTCCTTAAGGAGGTAGTGATGGTGACCCCAATTGATGCAGACTACGGCCAAACGTCCGCATGATGAGACGAAGTATGCGAACACATGCGTCAACTTCAAGGCAACGCCATGACGTCAGCCTGCTTGCAGGAAGAGATTCGACAACCTATTGTCCGCGTTCAAGAAGTCATCGCTGAAGGCACTGCGTGCGTCTGGTACAGAAGAAGTGTACCTGGAACGTGACCAACTCATACAAGACATCTCAGACATGGTAAGGACAAACTAATGTGTGTGCAAGAGGTGATTGTACAACTAGATGGATATTGCTCTGCTTCGAAAGAAAGCTGCGAAACAAGTACAGGAGAGACGAGAAAGCGATGGTCATTTGATTCGTGAGGCTGCCTTGACCGGCATGAAGCGTAAGCAAGCAGAGGCCCGACGACAATGCAAGTCAAGATGAGAAGCCGTTATGCAAATCGCTTGACTCGAAGAAGGGTACTCGCAATGGAGCTCTACGTGAGTCGTCGTCGGTTGTTGCAAATTCACAGTCATGATGGAAGAATCGAATCGGATCAAGTCAGAGGAAGTGGCCGTGAGGAAGGAGGAAGTTGCGCTGGAACAACGTAGGCTCGAGTTAGAGCAAGCAAGATATGCATTGGACAAAGCAGAGCGCGAAGCACGGTTTGCACTTGAGAAAACAGAACGTGAAACGCAGTTAGAATTCTTGCGTACCACAATTGACTTGATAAGATGAATGAGAAACTAGTCTTTTTGCTTTCATTTCGTGTATGCAATTATGTTTTCTTAGCCAGTACTGTTTAGTTGCACGTGCAAATATTCCTCTGCTATGGGTGGATCAACTCCTAAATACTTGAAGATTTGATTTCCTCTCATACTTGTATGGACATTTATCTGAGTACTGAATACCAACCGCTTGCAGCCAGAGTTTCTGTCCACCTTTGTAATCTACAAATGTCCACAAGTTACGTACAATTCCGAAGCCCCACTCCACACTAACACGAACTGAGCTCATACGCCGATTGAATTCGGCCTCATTTTCGTGTAGATGTGCACCTTTAAAACAAGAAACAATTACATCATTGATCCCATATGCGGGATCTCCGTAAATTACATATCTGGTATTCCCTACCCGAAGTTTGGAAGTCAAATTCTCAACCAGGTTGCTCTTTGCAAGCAAGTACGCATCATGGCGAGAGCCTGGTTCGGGTCCATGTAGATGCACAATGATGCGTCAGGCGAGGTAACGGCTTGATACTTGACAGCATGCTTGAGCTCTTCAGACGATTTTAACCGTCAACAAGCGCAGAACACAAGGATTCGTACCTTGTGTCCATTAGAGGCCGTTTTCTGAATTCTCTTTCCTGGACGGCATATTCCGCGAACAGTGACATCGATAAACCCAATGCACGTGTCGAATGGGGCGCCAGCTTCATAAATTGCCTCGGAGCAGCGCCGCTTCCAGTCGCCGTCGAGTCTGACGTCATCCCAGACAAGCAAGTGGACAAACTTGTCATAAATGTGCTGCAAAACATGGCTGACGATGCAGGAGAGTGCTTCACGGCTTCTCCCAAAGAGGAAGACCATAGAGCCAAGACGGTGG